GCTTATTAAGAACTATAATTTACGAAAGTTTGAGGTCTTTACATGCAATAGTTTATGAGATATTAGCGTTCAAAGATGCTGAGTGGCAAAAGCGCTAATTAGCTCATATATAATCTCTCTAAAAATTGGAGTTTTTAAAAACGTTTGAAGCAAAAAGTATTTCATATGGGAAGCTCAAAAGGAAAGCTTATTGTGCTATGTTGTTTCAATAGTCTACTGTCATACAYGGCGTTGTTTAGCACTGTCGGTTGTCAGTTAAAATTTCAAGCATTTGTCGGTAATCATTTACTAGTAAAATTCTAGGCATTTGTCGGTAGTCGGTTATTCAAAAAAAAGTTGATAAACAAGTTTGAATGCATCGAAAACGGTGCGTCATATCAATAGAATGTTTTTTTAAAATGCCAACAGTTGAATCCTTGAGTATTCATTGGTCAATTGGATGCCACTTTAGTTTTAGAGTGGCTCATTAAAACTCCAAGAAGCCCATACGAAGCAAAATGTTCTTGTCGGTAGTCAGCAAATTTTGTTCAAATTTGTCGCTAGTCAGTTGTTATTTTGTCGATCAGTTGTCACTAGACGGTTAACCCCATTCACCTGTTATATGTGTTTGCCATGAAATTTAAGACACTGCAAATTGTCAATCAAAGAAGGACATTGATCGGACTCGATGATTTTTTGTTGCTTTCCTAAGATCACCAAGTATCTATGTACAAAAGATTTAACAAACGTATGGAAAAATAGAGCTGGAGAGCAAGGCTTGCTCTCCAGTTCTGTTTTTGAATATGTTTCTTTAGAAAAAACATAATTTTATATTTGCTGTCATTTTTTAAGTATCTAGAGTTGAGACTTGAAACTTTGACTTCTTACTTATTTTGATCCCCTCTTTCCATTTCTGAAGATCATTTTGTGATAGCCGATTGATTTAAGGTAGGTGTGGTCACGTGACCCCTAGCTGCAAAAGGCCTATATTAGCAACACGATGCAAAAGATATCATTGATTGCCTCTGTTTGACGTGCGGCATGATCTGAACCTAGTATCCAATGATTGCTCCAACTAATTACAAGTTTTAATATCATAAAACAGGTGTTCWCTGCCAACAATTAAGCAAACATGATAAAAACATTAGAATAACATATACAAAACATTGCAAAAAGACTCAAAAGAGTTCACGCTACATGATGGTAAAGATTTAACACTGATGAAGGTAGGTTAAAGCAATTGATAATCGTTGATTTACTATCAGCATTAATCGCTTGAAAACTAATTGTTTTCGAAATTCAGCAAAAAAAAACAACTTTTGGATGAGATTTTTTAATACAAATCATCTCTCACACACGCTGAACTATGTATAAACTATCCGTTACGCTTTTATTATTTTATTTTCAGTACTCATAGTTCTAACTATAACCTTCGGCAAAATGATTTTTTGAGGCCTAGATTCAATACGGTAAAATTTGGTAAGCACTCTATAAGATATCTTGGCCCTAAACTATGGGCAAACCTGCCTGTGGACGTGAGGGAAGCGGGTAGTCTCGGAGTATTTCAAACTAAAATACGTCGACTGACTTTAAATATTAATGACAATTGCAACGGATGTAATCTGTGCTCCGAGTGATCATGGTATCTAGTCTATCCTAATCTATATTCCTATATTATCTATATTATATTTTCAGCTATATTTTTATATTTTTATATTAAATATATATAGGGTATTAAACCTAAGTAATATTTTTTCAAACATTTATATATTTTATCATATATAATTATATTTTCGTTTCGACTTCTTTTCTTTATGTTGTGTNGGAAATAATGTAATCTTCACACAGTGCTTTATTGCATGTAACATTGAGTACAACAAATCTGCAACATTTCTTTTGATTTCATGTATTGTCATCTGATCTTCTTATCTTGTAAAACAGGTGGGGAAGGGGCCCGGGGGAAGGGGGCTATAGCTTCCCTATATATTGCTCAGAAAACAATTTTGAAATAGTATTAACGTTTTTTGATGGAATCCGCTAATTTTTCAAATGCTATCCGAACTCGAATGCTCCTCAGTCCCTGATTATTATACTTTATGTTTTATCAAGCGCCACAAATACGCGCGTCTGCCCCTAGACGTTTGGTTGTTACAAACTAGGTCTTTTAGCTTTTCTTTTTAATTATTTTTTGTATTGCCGTTGTTGCATACTTTATTACATTTTCAATTTCTTTATTACGCTCGCAAATAACGATGGAACCGAAAGTATAGAGAAATAAAGGATGCACGATAGCTTTTCACCGTCGTGTAACAAATGAATGAGCGGGTAGCCTGTTGTGAGCCTGCAAGTAACAATGCGRCAATACAGCTGCTCGCGCATGGTCATGCAAAATGGCCCCTTGTTGATAAACATTAAGTTTGAATGCATCTAAAACGGTGCGTAAATATATCAACAGAATGCTTTCTAAAATGCCAACAGTTGAATCCTTGAGTCTTGATTGGTCAATAGCCGACTTGCGAATTTCGCCTCAGTAGTCACACACAAAGGAATCAAGACGAGACGCCATAAAGTTCAGTCATTCGTGAAAAGACAATAGTTTTTAACAATTGACTAAGCTTTACGCACGGCGCCTCGTCTTGATTCTTTTGTGTTTGACTACTGAGGCGAAATTCGCAAATCGGCTATTGGATGCCACTTTAAGTTTTAGAGTGGCTCATCAAAACTCCAAGAAGCCAATTTTGTTCAAATTTGTCGCTAGTTAGTTCTTATTTTGTCGATCATTTGTCACTAGACGGTTAACCCCATTCAGACCCTGTCATATGTGTATGCCATGAAATTTAAGACACTGCAAATTGTCAATCAAAGAAGGACATTGATCGGACTCGATGATTTTTTGTTGCTTTCCTAAGATCGCAGGATCTATGTACAAAGATCTTCCAAACAATGCCTTATAAGGCTTGCTAGTGGAAAATTAAAAGACGAGGTGAATGGGAGCCATTTTGGAGAGGAAGGTTAACATGAAAGCGAGGCAAAAGCCTCGGTTTGACTTAAAAAAGCCGTGTTTTGGCTCGACGCCGTCGCAAATACGCTATTATATCTTTGGAGGTTTGTGAAATGAAATTACATATCCAACATGGAACATCTGTAAACATGAAGATGTTGGTCTTGCAAAACCAAAGCGAGGCTAGGTCGCAACATTTCCACGTGTTCACAATAGATGAAGAAAATTGCAAAGCAAAAGATCAAAGGGAAAAGTTGTATTCGACTTTGTCATGCCTATACAGGAATTATCGTCGAAGGAGTTAAGAAACCTTTTCATAAAATCATATCCAAAAAATAAATCGTTATGAAAACTGTGGATGTAGTACCTAAATGGCATCGAAAGAAATTGACTGAAAACATGCGAGTTTGTAGCAAACACTTTGCAGCCAAGAAATATGATGATCAAAGCGTGACGTTTCTACATGAACACGAGAAAATGTTGTGACCCCGGGGTTGTGACCTAGCCAAAGCCTCGCTTTGGTTCTGCAGAACCAACATCTTGGGAAAGGGCCATTGACATATTAAAACTTTTGCAATTTTCTTTTCCTTTCTTGGATAGACTTGCAGGCTTTTATCAATTTTATCAATTATAAAGAATATCGCTAATATCCGACGTTTCGGATATATCAATTCCCTCCAGAAAAATGCATTGTACAGATGTGCGCTGTAGTTGGATATTTTTTTTAAATATAAATTTCTATGTTCAACAATTTTTTCAACGAATCAGAAACTGTGTATTTTCCAATATCGATTGCAATCAAATTTGAGAGTTTGAATCACGATTTTAGTGCCTGTATAGAGGTTGTTAGCAATAATTAGCAACACGATGCAAAAGATATCATCGCGGATTGCCTCTGTTTGACGTGCGGCATGATCTGAACCTAGTATCCAATGATTGCTCTAACTAATTACAAGTTTTAATATCATTGACAGGTGTTCACTGCCAACAATTAAGCAAACATGATAAATACATTAGAATAACATATACAAAACATTGCAAAAAGACACAAAAGAGTTCTCGCTACGGATGGTAAATATGTAACACTGATGAAGGTAGGTTAAAACAATTGATAATCGTTGATTTACTATCAGCATCAATCGCTTGAAAACTAATTGTTTTCGAAATTCAGCAAAAAAAGCAAAAAAAAAAACAACAAAACAACAACAACAACAACTTTTGGATGAGATTTTTTAATACAAATCATCTCTCACACACGCTGAACTATGTATAAACTATCCGTTACGCTTTTATTGCTACTGAAAATACTTTAAATAAAACATGGGATTATCTTGTGTAGGATTTATTCCCGTATGCGAGATAACATGAACACGCCTTGCTAACTGAGCTGAGCTAAGAAGATGGATTTTTAAGCTGTCAGTCCTATGTACAAAAAGGCCCGTTTACACTTGCGTTTTTTTGCAGAGCGCCACTTACTATGACCTACTATCGCGCAACTCAAATCGTACGTGTAAACAGCCTTGCAATTGTTGCGACGACCACAAATCGCACCGGATTGAGCTAAATTTCAAGCATGTTGGAAGCTCAGGCGATGGTCGCGCGATGAATCGCGTTGCAAAAACTGCAAGTGTAAACGTGTCTATACTGTTGACTTTTCGTCTACTATATATTTTGTTACTAGTAACAGATGTCTTACTTTATTTAGAACCTGAATATGAAATAGAAWTCAATATTTTCGAAGCAATAGTCTTCTTCACGGATCCCTGAGCCATCTTGAAAGGTAGCCGTGCCTTTACGTCAAGGCGAGGCGAACGTTGAGCGTGCATTGATAGATACCTGTGAATAATTGTCTGTAGGTGTGAAAGAAGGTTTCTATCATTGCACGCTCAATGGTGGTTGTCTCGCTTCGATGTAAAGGCACGGCTACCTTTCAAGATGGCGCAGGGAACCGTGAAGAAGACAGTGAAGTTTCTTTCTTCTGAAATAAAAGAAAATACACAAAGCAATTGCTTGTTTGTATAGAGCCGGTTTTTATCAATAAATTCTTGAGTTCAATTGCCCTTTTTCTTAAATTAAATTCTTCCGTTAAAATTGTTAATCGCATTTAGTTAATCGAGGATTTCTTCCCTAAATGACTGAATAATCAAATTTCACTAAAAATTGATTAATTTTCAGACCTCAGTCAAGGCTGACCATTGAAGAACTCAAGTACATTTGATCAATGCTAACATTTTCTACTTATCAAGATATCGACGGTAAGCTACGTATTTGTTTAGCTTTAGGACCTTAATACCTTTAACATTGAAAAGCTGCAAATGCATGACGAACTTTGAATTTTTAATAACTTTTGGTTCAATCTAAACATATCACTTTTAATAATTTCTATTGGCAGCTTTCCACATTGATATTTCTCTTGGAGCTACATTGTAATTGTACAGTTGTTTACCCGACCGCGCGGCTTTTACTTGATCACTTGTTTCAATTACTTGGTACATTGGTGAGTGCGTGTTTTGTCAAGATATAATCAAAAGGAAAAAGCTTTTTTGTATGAATTCTTAACTGAATTACAACTACCAATTAATCTTCCACCGCTATGCATCAAAGCTGTCAATTATCATTAGAACATAGGGTTATTACATGATTAAAACAACCAAAAACAAAATAGAATTAATATGATTGAGGCATAACAAAAGAGCTTATACGGTCAAGGACATGAAGGACACCCGTAGCCAAAGTTAGTTACAAGGTACAATGAAAGCAAAAGATCCGCTTCGAGGAGAACAAGAACCAAGATTTGAAGGAAAGAATATTCAAAAAGGACAGCTTTTACTTCAGTCAGACTATTTTGAGTGTATTAATCATAATTTGAAAACTTTGATAATTTCCTGTGGCTACTGATGATTCAAGGTGCATCTAACATATTTGTTGTAGCTTTGGCGAAATTTTTAGGATCTTTTGAATTGCACCACTCAAAATTATTCGAGCTTTTCGCGAAAAAAAAAGTTTTTTCAATCGGAATTTCGTATGCTGATTCTCCCGAAAAATTCTCTGAATACGGGCCTTGTTAAKAAAGGTATATAACATGAAAGTCCATGTTGTATCGGTGCGATACCAGAGGTTCAATTTTTTCACTCTTTTCTAATTGTTTTTGTCGCTTTATGAGTCCTTAAGACGCCAACGCCACGCAAATAACCCTCAATTTTTCTTACATTTCGGTGTCTTAGGGGACTTAGAGTAGGCCTACAAACACGGACAATATACATTTGGACACGATAAACAGTTACTCGACTTAGCACATCATGTTAGTTTTTACTGACGGCATGGCCCTACACTCCCTCACCCCTCCCCCCACGGTCAATATCTATTGTTGTGCACGATGTCATGGTAGTTTAGCATGGAAAAACAAATGAAAATAGCCACACGACATTGTACAGGGGGCCGGGAGGGTACGATGTTCTACCGAGTGGATGTCGTGTTAGTTTAGTATTGTAGTTATCAAGAGGGTAGCTCCACGTACAGAAAATCGCGCTCCTTGAAGGTTGTAAATTTAATGGAATAATTACAAAAGTAGTAAATATTATGTAAGTGTCCAAAACCATGTTAATCACATCATAAGGATGAAAATGCTGGCAAAACTTCATGGATTAAAAAATGCTCGCAACGCATCCTGTGTATTTATGAGGGGACATGGAAATGATCCTAGTGATGATAAAATTGTGCATTTGCTGCATGTAATATATTGRCTCATGCCCTATAAACGCTTTTAAACACTTCTGCCATGTCGTATACGCTTCAACGTGATTTTGGCCGTAATACGCATGAAATATTTCGCTAAAAATGATGTTAGATGAACGCTCGGCTTCAATCCATGCAGGAAACACGAGGTTTTTAGAATTTAGAATAATATACTTCAACGATCGATTTTTACAACTGTGCAAAATTTACGCCAACAACTGAAAATTTGCTAAAAACCGTCCTAAATTTTACTTTCCAACCCATTCTTTTTACATGCAAAATTTRCAGCGCGTTTTTTTCCAGTGTACGATTAATCAATTCTGTTCCTTTTTATTTACAGTTCATCATGAAAACAAAAATATCAAATATTCATTTGTTGATTGTGCTTCTTGGTTTGGTCGTTAMGCAAGCAATCAGCCAGAAATGTCGAACTATTTACTCAAACAGCGAYAATCGCTTAATCAACCACGTGATCGATACAATTCAAGGTATTTCAGYAGCAAGTTGCACAATGTCATGCGCAAAAMAYACKAAATGTTTTAGTATCAACTATAACAAGCAAASTCAGCTTTGCGAGCACAACAACAACACTAAGCTGTTTGCMAAAAAAGATTTGATCTTCGAGGAAAACAGTTTTTACATGGATATTCTTGAGAGAGATTACAATCCATGTTTGGTAGAAAAGCCCTGCAAGAATGATGGGAAATGTAGTGTTGATTTTAGTAATGCCTCGTTCTCGTGTCAATGTACCAAACACTATACTGGACAGCAATGCCAARCACTGAAAACAAGTAAGTCTTGTAAAGTASTGATTTTAATCCTATTTATACAGTCAACTCTCGCTATTACGGACACTCTCGGGACCGTAATTTATTGTCCGCAGTAGCGAGAGTCCGTACTAACGGTAATCACTTTCAGTCATTTCTTTGTATTTTTCGCCGGGGATTCAGTACATTTCGTGTCCGTAATATCGAGGTGTCCGTAATAGCGGGGTGTCCGTAATACCATAAGGCGAGAGTTGACTGTACTAGAATAAGTTTGCAGCTATTTCAGAAAAGAGGCCGAAAAGCATTGATGGTCGCTTCATCACCGTTCAATAGGAGTTTTAGTGGAGTGACTATAAAATCAATGCCGGGAAAGAAATTCAGGTTTCGAATTGTCATTTTGTAAATCAGGTAACGTGGATTTTAGTATCAACTAGACGCTCTTTGAGCGTGAAGTCGGACTAGTCCGAGTAATAACACATTGCTCGGTCTTGGAATTTACTATGCAGTATGTAGTATTAAACGCTTCTCTGAAACAGATTTTATTATCATTTTCCGTTATCGTTCGCATTCTCGTGAGCGGACTATTATCATCACATCACGATCATGATAAACAATTTGATTCTATTTTTTACCTTGTAAAGCATTGAGATTCTATATAATGCTCAATAAATTATTATTATTATTATTATTATTATTATTAACAATGTCAAGTGGTGTCATTTTCTTGAACAAAGCATGCTAGGAGATGTAATCCTCATACTTGAATATGTCTGATAGAATCATTTTTTTTTCATAATGCGGACCTAATTTAAATGTTTAACTAAATAGCCGATTTGCATTATGGCGTCATTTACTACAACTACCAGAATGCTTTGCCAACTTTCTTTTGTAATGCAATTAGTGCCAATTGTTTTATTAATCTCCAAGGGGATTAAAAATCTGAATAACAATGAAAATACGCAAGGCTCTCTGGTAGTTGTAGTAAAGTTACGCCATAATGCAAACGGCCTATTAGTTCAATGCACAGTATAGTGTGTAAGAACTGGTTGAAATTCTGAAATACTGGCTGAAATACTCAAAAACAGTCCATAAGAATTTTAAAAGAGAACAATAAAAAAGAGAAACACCGGACCCCCTTTTAAGCTTGGAGGGAGAGGGGGGGGGGGGGGTTTCGTCCGAACCCCCCAGCCTACGGATCTGAGTAACTAATAATATAGATGTTAAACATTTTCTTCAGTTGGTGATGTGAATTGTCAAAACAAAGTTTTGAATCTTTGTCAAGATCACATGAAAGCATGGAAAGCTAAAATCTTAGGACCGATTTCACTCAGTCTCGAGAACTGCAATCCTAAAGACTTACAAGACGCAAGTGAACTTTTGTTGTTCGTGAGCCGAGCTGATGCAAGTGACTACGGGAAGTATGACATTGTCAGAGTCAAGGAACACTATAAGTAAGACTTCTACTGTTAACATTTATTGAGCAATTTTGACACCTACCTGAGATAGACTGTGGTACGGATTTTTTTCTCCGTCCACACTTCCCGTTTCCACGCTGGCTGTATTTTAACATTTTAAGAAGGAGGATTGCAAAAATTCAGACGAAGGTGGAGATGTTTTGAGCGATGGCATAGTTTTCATATGGAAAAGGCTGAGGATGTATTAAAATACGATGAAGTAAATTTGATATTGAATTCTCCATCTCCATTCTCCTCCTGGACAGGTTAATACGATGCGAAAACCCTTTTTGACCGGAGAAAGAAATCTGTTTGACAGCGTCTAAAGCGACGCATTTCTAATTATTTCAAGAAGATTTTAAAGAATATGGAAACGGTGCTGTCCTAACAATAGGAAGGTTGCGATGTAGAGAACTACAGGGACGGTGCAGACGGGAAAGGGGTTCCTATATTCTCCTGTGTTCTATAAACTCATCACCTTCCCACTGTCCCTCTGGAAAAATTCAAATCCAAGCCTTCTCCCCCCTACACACACTTTGTTTTGTATCTCACGTTAATAATGGTTCCTATTTGTTTAATGCAGCTGTACCGTTATCTTGCAACCATCAATCAAACTGGTTTTTTCTGGTTCCCCTTGCGAGATCATTGCTCAACGTTTTCCTAATTTTAACAAAGTCACTCTGACCCAGTCCTGTACGTTGACATGCAATGCTCGGTTGGGTGTGGTTGGGGGTGTCATGGCGTTTAGAGCAGTTGAGGTTCAAGTGGACAGMACATCGAAGATAGAAATGAATGGAAAAGGTAAACCAAGCAGTGTTTGGCTGCTTTCTTCTCGTTGAAACAACTGAAAGATTATTGATGACAAGACAKTTAAAGTGTTTATTCTAATTGTTCAGGTTATCGTGGTGGAGCCGGMGGGTCTTCAGCTGGTAATGGCGGCTWTGGTGGAGAGACGTTCGCATGTTTGTCTTCATGGTACGGTCAAGGAGGAAATTATTCTTCTGCTGGCAGAGAAGGAGGTGGCGGAGGTGATGGTAAGTCATTAAATGAATTGAATTATAAACGAGGTCTACTGTGATCTGTGTTCCCCTTCCTGAACACTGTGATCCTATTTCTAAACATTGCACTCATGTTCCCAAGCTAGCCTCGTGCTCTCCATTTCGGCCGTTTTGTATATCAAGAAAAAATTGCGATGTCTGTTTCTATTTTCAAAGATGCCAGTGGAGGTCCAGGGGGGTTAAACGCTGGGGGAGGTGGTGGTGACTCGAAAATAAACCYCGATGATGGCGGTGGTGGCGGTGGGGGAGGTGGCCATTTCTCGGGGGGTGGTGGTGGAGGGGCTGGCACAGGATGTGGAAGTAAAGCCGGTGGAGATGGGGGAAGTGCTTCAACAACAGTAAGTAGCTCGTGTTCGTCCCCTATAGGCGATATATATGCACAGAAAATCATAAATAGATTGAAACGTCTAATCGCCGATCACTTTCATGTGTTACAGAATTTTAGATTCGTCAGTAAAATCTCATTTCTCGAAAATCGTAGACAACTTTTCTTCAAACAAATATAGAGGACAATATGTATAAAATTTAAAAATACCTACATCCGAGGAAACTGTCAATATTTTTCATTCCACATTGTCATAAATTAAATGGAATTTTAGCAAAGAAATATATTTGAGTTATGAGCCTTCTCTCACTAATAGCCGATATGCATTATGGCGTCATTTACTACAACTACCAGAATGCTTTGCCAACTTTCTTTTGTAATGCAATTAGTGCCAATTGTTTTATTAATCTCCAAGGGGAYTAAAAATCTGAATAACAATGAAAATGCGCAAGGCTCTCTGGTAGTTGTGGTAAAGTTACGTCATAATGCAAACGGCCTATTGTATTATATTTGCATGTTTTAGCTAAATGGATACGCTGGGGGAGGGGGGAATTGTACATGTAAAGGAGACGCTGGAGGAAACGGCGGGTCGAGTGATGGCAACAATGGAAACGACATCCGAGGAGGACAAGGAGGTAATTATGACCAAAGTATCAAAACTCCAAGAAATATCGATGAGAAGGTTATGCATGGATATTCAAATAGTTCAACGCGAAATTTGGTGAWWTGTGATTGTAATTCTGTCAGTTGTACAGCAGTGAAATCATGTGGGAAATTTAAATCAGGCTCTATTTAGTAACGARTTGGAATAAAACAATTGGGAATGAMCTGYAWTACGAACTGACATYAATAAACTCTCTAAATGTGTTCACATGAGCTTCCAGTGCCATTAGTAGAAAGAAGTAGGCCAGCGAGCTGGATTTTGAGTTAAGCTTCAAATTTTAATCAATTTCTAGGAGTTTTAGCAGCCATAAAAAAAATTTTTTTTAGTATTCTCCGATTAAAAATATCATGACTCTACTAAGTATCAAAAAGCATGGGGGCAGTTTAAGTGAGGACTTTTAATAGTTTAAATGGTTTGCATAGATAGCATTAAATTACATAGTGTTAATTATGTTTCATCTTTCTTCAATAAAGGGTCAGCAATATGTGGTGGCACTTATGGTGGTGGAGGCGGGGGAGGTATGTTTTATTGATACTAAAGGCCTATTGACACGGAACGATTGTCGCGTGCGACTTAAGTAGTATACGACTCAAATGAGCTCCTAATCGCGTCGTGTAAATGCCTCTACTACTTACCTACAACAGTCCTACGCAACCTATGACTTGTAGTAGGATTTTGAACCACGGCTTAAAATCCTACGACTTGTAGTAGGAAAATCGTATACTACAAGTCATACGCGACAATCATACCGTGTAAATCAGGAGCGGATCCAGAATTTTTTTAGGGGAGGAGGGAGGGGGGGTGGGGAAACTAAATTGGCGCGAACTTTTGGCGGGAAATTTGCATGACTGACAGGGCCGTAGTGAATGGATAACTGARGTTCTAAGGCGGGAGAAACTAGGGGGTGTCGGGGGGCATTCTCCTCCAAGAAAATTTGAAATTCAGTCTCTCGGGAATGCGCTCTGCAGCGTTTTGTGGGCCTTTTGGTAACTATCTTTTGAACAGATTTAACCGGACTTCAGCCTCATGGGCTATCAGCTGGAAGTCCACCATACAAAGGAATCAAGACGAGGCGCCGTGCTAAAGATTTTTCACAAAAAAGCACGGCGCCTCGTCTTGATTCCTTTATATGTGACTATTGATGCGTAATTCGCAAGTCGGCTATTGTTAAATAAATTATTCAGCGAGTCTGATTACAGCCTGGACGAACCATTTTCAGTTAGATGTCAACATTATTATCAGTAACGTACAGCTCACACGACAAACCATCTAGTTTTAGAATAGACTAATGTAGACAAAAGGATGTTACCGTAGTCTAGAAGATGGTGATCTAGAAACTGATGGTTATAATCCCATTAAAGTCGTTTCAGTTGTAAAAACGAAGTCATTTTCATACTTCAGCAAGATCAGTACAATAACTATGATTACAACACCAATACACTTTTAAAAACTCAACGATGGCGGCAGCGTGTTTATTTTCTTCGCCAGGTGGTTTTCAATACGGCAGCGTAGATTTCTCAAGTCGTCTAAGCTACGGAGGAGGAGGTGGTGGAGGTGGGGGAAGTCAATTTGGTTACGCTGGGGGKAGGGGTGGACACGGTGGAGGCCTGGTACTACTATTTGTAGACAAGTTGACATTGAACGGCAGGATAGAAGCTAAAGGTAATGTTACTAGTTGTACTATCAGGACTAACGAGGTCTCATTGACTGTGAATATTCATGAGAATGAATTAACAACTTACTTTGAGGGGTCCCTCGGTTAAATTAATCCCAAGTCGGTCCCARTCCGCTCTCGTGTTTGATTTTTGGTGAAAAAAAAACCCCGACTATAGACGCAGTTTTATCAAGTTTGACATCATCAGCTGACTGAGACTTATTGAATAAGTCTCGTGAGCTCACGTTGAGTACTTTTTTGAGATTTTGAGTAAACTGCGTTACATTATGGAAGAATTCAGGATTTGACAATAATTTTCATGAAATGTCTTGAATGAGATTCTATTTTATTTTATTAAAGGTGAACGAGGACAATGTCAGCCTGCTATTGCAAACCACCGAGGTGGGTCAGGGGGAAGCGGTGCTGGAGGAAGTGTCGTCATAGTAACCAAAGACTTAGTCGGTAGCTTAAGCGGCAAGATTGACGTCCAGGGGGGMCCTGCACTTTCTTATGCTGTCCATAAATGTGGATTGGGTCCTGGATATGGTAGGTTAAAGCGTCACCTGTATTCTATAACTCGATTTGCGCCGCAGCTTTATGAAGTGATGTTTGTAATACAACAATAAAAATATAAACAACACAATAATAATAATGATCGTTGGCTCGCACAACGAATAATCGATGTACACCATCTTCTGAGCCTTTTCTGAGGTAGCAGTTTCCATTGCATTGTGGTCTAGGTTCAGAACAAACATCTTTTGTTCATGCTGCCAAATATGGAGTTTTGTGCTGAAGSTAGACCACAATGCACTATGATTTCGTATTTCAGAAAAGGTCTTTGGCGTCACATACTACCAAGAACGGAATGCTTTACACATTTCCTTTTGTAATGTCATTAGCTTCTCTTGTTTTACTAATCTCCAGAGGGATTAAAAATCGTGATTAACAAAGAAAATACGCAGAGCATTCTGGTAATGCTAGTAAAATGACGTCATATCAACTATTATCATTTTTATGTCACGTGATACCTCTACGTTTGTTATCATAACCATTGATTCATGTTTATATTGTAATTCAGGTGGAGGAGGTGGAGTTGGTCGATGGGTCGTCAAGACTCCCTTAATTGCGTACGTGTCCCAATAATAACAATACTTATCGCTCTTCTACAGATACTAAAGGTTGACTAGAAACAGTTGTATAAGAGCMTAGATTTAACASMWTAATGCACTACTCAATTGAAACCCYTGCCCCMAGACCCCCGGGGCTAGCGGGGCACTGAACGGGGACGTGACGCMTTTTTAGCGTGCTTCTAAGAGCAAGATTGTCCCGGGGGGTCCGGAATTTGGTTAATTTTTTGAAGGGGGGAAAGGAGTGGGGATTTTACCGCGAGTTTAAACACTATGTATGAGTCTGGAAACTAAAGGTCGTCCATCTTGAACAATACCCTGAAGGCATTGGTATTCAACCCTGTTTTTGTATTTGTTTGTTTTCTTTGCATGAAAAGTCAAAAAAAACTTATTACACATGTTTAACTCCGACCACTGTTACCCTCATGTAGTACGCAAATGACTATGAGTATACAGGATTATACAAAAATTAACCCTGTGTATCACAGAAAATTTGAGTTGGATTGAAAAGGTGTTTGTTTTGTTATTAAATACTAGACCAAAATAGCGGGGCAACAGTAGCGGGGATTTTAACAGTGAATTTGCCTCGACAACCGGGGAAATATTGTATTTTGACACCACTCAAACGTTAAATTCCCCGTGGTCGGGGGTTTCAATTGACTAGTGCATAAAGAAGTAGCTGAAACAACTTAAAGACGTTTCGRACGTTAATCCTTCGTCGTTGTAAAGAGCATAGGAACACTAGAGAGTGGAACTAATTTAAAAGAAAAAAAAGTGATAAATCAGGAGCCCATTACTAGGAGCGTCCATGATGTGCATTAGTTCACAGCGTTTTCAGAGACGTGGACATTTTTTAGATTTTAGAAGTCACCTCTCATTGGTCAAAAAAAAATCTAAAAATAGTCACGCCTCTGAAAACACTGTGACACCCCTGTATTAGGACATGGATGCTCCTAGTAATGGACCATCCTCGTCGGGCATTAAATGTTCTGTATTATCTAAATATTTTCTTTTGCGTCCAGCATTCAATCTCGCTCCACCATGCGCCGCCATCTTGGAAGCGCCGCCATCTTGGATGTCTAAACTTGAAAAAAATAGCCTAAATTCTCGGCGCTGACCAAGAGGAACGACCGCTCTGGGTACGAGATTGAAATTTTTCCAGTTTACTTGCGCATGCGCACTTTATGACAGTGTCCYTTTAACAACACAGTACAACCATTAGTCCTTTTTAGCCCATGAGTACTGCTCAACCTCAGACTCGTACCCAGTCGCTTCTCCGGCTTTTTTTAGAGACGCGCAATGCATCAAGGGAAGGGCGAAGGGAAAGCGCGAAGCGTCGTTACTTTTTCTCCCGCCTTCCCATCAACCTCTTCGAGCGTAAGCAACGACTGGGTACGAGTCTGGCTCAACCTTATGAAGGTGATGGTAACAATGCTGTGGATATCCTTCTTGCAACAAATTAACAATATATAGCTGAAAAATATTATATTCAGCCTGAAGAAATATAAAATCAATTTGTTGTACAATTGATATCATTATCATCATCATTATTGATATTATTATTACTTTTAGATTAATTTATCGATGTAATAGCCTTACCTTAGTAGGTATTTATAAATTCAATAAGATTCCAATTCAGATTTTAATAAAGATATAGTTATTGTATTCTATAGCAAGTTTGTACTCGTGGTCTTCCTTACAGACGGATTTTTTGGCATCAAATAGCGAACTCATACAATCAGTAATTGTTCAAGAATTGTTGCATAGAGCAAACGCAGGAAAACCATGAAATAAAATCAAACTAAATACTAACAAATAGCGGCTATTTAGAGACAAATTGTTAGTATCAATAAACCAGAACACAATAAAGATGAATGAAAAATCATCTGTGGATTCGTTCTATAAACAACACCTATCTTTTGAACCAGTTTTCTGT